TTAAAATTTTTTAAATTTTTATTAAGAGTAAAGTTCACTTTGAATTTTATAAAATGTGTGTAAAAAAATACTTTATTCTTTTCTCCTCCCACCTGTTAATTACAACTTTTGCTTTATGCTTTTTGCTTGTTTACGCATTCTTGTAAATGTTTCAATCATATGAACTGTTTACATTATACCTGATCATCTAAAAATAACTTTTTTTGTTTTTTATATTTTATATTTTTTAAAAACTCTTTTCACAACATGGGCAGACCAAAGAAAGAGAACAATAAAAACTAACAAAAACAACCTCACTTTCACCCTGGCATTCCAGAGTAACAATAAAGTAAAAGACAGAATACTTTACAAACTACTGAACCTGAAAGTAGTGTCTTTACCAATAACAATAACAAAGAAACTCCAGTTATTATGGACGTTGACCCTCTTTCGCTCAATAAAGAAAAGGGCAAAGAAGTTTTAACAGATAAAATAACTCTAGTTTTCACTCCTAAATAAGCACTTATAAATGTTAACGATGCTAACGACACCTCAAAAAACTTTTTGAATAATAAGAAAAGCCTTCAAGAAATTTCTACCAAAAAAATGAATTTTTTCGCATTTTTTTCAGCAAATGATTACCCTGAAAAATTTCCTCAAGCAAAAATCTCTGACGTTAATGATCTCATTTTTGATCAGTTTAACTCATTTTTGGGTGTTGTACTTATTAAACACCAGAGGACCAATCAAAAAAAATCTTAAAAGTGACATTTTTTGATAAGGACAAAAGGAACGCGTTCTGTAAAATCATCTTGCCTAATTTAGAAAATTGCATATTTTTACCTCTTAAAATTGTTTTAAAACATCTATTCATTCTATAACAACTGATTAAAGTTACTAAAATACCATTGGACATCACAAAATTGCATATAAAAAGATCTTCTCCTGATTTGACAAGATCATCAAATTCAACATGGAAACAAAAATTTCTGATAACAAGCTACGATCACATATGATGCAGATGCAAATTTCGTTGAACTTAAGAAAGGTCATAGTATCTTCCTCCTTAACGATATAGTTCATTTTTACATGTGTGACCTCCTGCATGATAAAATTTTAGAACATTCTAAATTCTCAGCTAAACTAACATGTCTTTCTCATTACATCATGGGTAAAGATTTATCCAATTTGGGTTTGATGGTTAATGCTATGGCCTGAATTATTCTTAAGGCTAGATTGAATTATCATAACTTACAACATGCATTTTTCTATTTTCCTTTAACTGATGATTACGAAGCAGCAATCAGTAATGACAATCTCACAATCAATAGCAAATATGTTGAATAGACTGAAACCAAAATTAAATTATGTGTCATCTACTCCTCATTGCATCACAAAATCAAAGATTATCTTAAAAAATGTCGCATTTCTCAAGATAAAAGCACTTAACATTTATATTAACAATTCTAACTAGCACAATATAACAATTATAAAGCTCCAATTCATTCTCGTAAAGGAGCTATTAGCCCCAATATCACTTTTGCTCACATTGTTACAGATGGTTTTCAGAAACTAACCAAACTGAATAGTAAATCTGCAAATCCACGTTCTATGTTAAAGAATAATGACAATAGTCTTTCAAAATAACTCTTACCTTATTACCAGATTGGAGTGATAATATCCCTCTGAATATGAAGTAACAATACAATCGTCTCCATCAACAACAATACAGATCACGTGATATCTCTACAGGAATAAAAGTAGGAGGCTCTATGCATGAGCAAAATACTGATAATAATTTTAAAGACTTCATCAAAGCTAGTTTTCTACAACTTATCTAGAAACTTGATGATCTCACGCTTACCTTGAGCTCTACTATAAAAAGAATAAAGATAATCGAACAAACACTCAATATTAAGGTCAACTTTCCTGATGAAGAAATAATGGCTGATTATAATATAGAATAATATGGAAATGGTCTAATTGTCGATGCTTCCATATCAATCATTAGTAAACAAAAACAAACCATTGCAGCTCTTACAGAAATTACAGATGCTCAAAACTTATGTCTCAAAAATTTCACTGAAACTGTTAACACCTTAGTCAATACTTGTAACACATTTCGTGCAGTTCTCATTCATAATGACTTACTTCAAATTGACAAAACACTAACAACGTATACCCTCAACACTAATTATGATATAGAAGCATAAAAGGCTCTAAAGGGCTTTCCCTAATTTTAAAAATATTTTTATGATTACTGTCTCTACAGATATTAACAATACCTTCCCCTCACCTAATAATAATTCTAATATGACCTCCATTAATGTACCTAAACTCTCCTTCGCAACTCACAACATCTGATCCTTCACTAACGTTGTCAAATAATACTACCTCTTATTACTATATTCTTCGTATAACTTAGATATTATTGGTCTTCAAGAAACTAACTTTAAATCCCAACATGAAAAATTTTTAATCTATTACATTCCTCCTTTATATCATTTTTTAGTTCAACCCCTAAACAACACATTGCATTTAGTGTAGGGATAATACTCAACAAAAAGATTGCTCATCACATATACAAACAAGATACCAAGCTCAATTGAGTCATTCATGTTGATTTATAATTTGCAAATAAACAAAAACTTTGTATTATAAATTATTATCTACCGTCAGCTGACCTTAAAATGAGAAAAGAAATCCAACTGATTCTTAACAAATGGATTAATAAAGTCACTATCAACAATTTCCATTTGATTGTTTTGGGAAATTTTAACACTGACATGGATCGAATACATAATCCCACTAATAGCTTAAAACTCTTCAATGATTTTTATAAACTGTCACTATTTGATGTTTTTACAATCAAATATGATCAAAATAGAATTAACTTTCCCACTTATTTTTCAAGTCAAATCTCTTCTAGAATAGATTACATTTGGACTTCCACTGACATCTCTCTTAACATATTAGATTGTCATATAATTGCACTTGGTATGAATATATCAGATTATCATATAGTTGTTGCTACAATTACGATTTTTTTAGACATTAAATTTAATAAACGTAAAATACAAAAAATCAGCTTCGATTTCGATAAAATGAATGAGAACCTATAGAGTAAATTCAGAAACAAACTTGATGCATTACTAAATAATAGCCAAATGAAAATAATTAACTAAGAGACATATTAGACGCACTCTCTGCTAAACAAATACTGGGACCTCTTTCAAGATCTATTGATTAAAGTAGCCAAAAAATGCATACTACTCAGAAAATCATCAAGACAATTCAAATATCCAAGACTACCTGGCCTTAAAAGATTATACTTGCATCAAAAAACCTTATACAAATTTAAAAAGTTACTTCTTAAAATCAAACAAGGCAATTCATTTCCTGTTAATTAGATACAAATGTATGACAATTTTCACAATATTGCTAACTCACTTAAATTTACTATGACACATTCACACCCAAACTACCCATTTAATTTTATTGACCTCCTCCTTTTAGACACAGTTTTTTTATTCAAAGTCCTTTTGTATAAGGTCAAAATTTACGAAAATGAATACAAACTTGACTTTATACAGAAATATTTGAATCAGCGATTAGAAGCATATGCTAACAATCCCAAAAAAATGTTTGATTCAGCATTAAACCAAACAAGGAAAACTATCATATTAGACAGATGTTTATCAAGGAATGCTTAAGATCTCCTCACAGATGAACACTTAGTTAAACAAATAGTTAATAATTATTTTTAAAGAGTGGCAGATACTACATATGAACTGAAAAGCATTCCTGACGAATGGCTCCCTTCATATAGTCTACTTGAAAATATTGATTTTGGTATATACAATAATTTGATGTCACCACCCTTAGTGAAAGAATGGTATTCTATCATTAATTCTCTTGCTGACAGAAGAGCATCTAGGCCATCTAAAATCTCGAATGAAATGCTTAAACATCTAAGCCCATTAGCTAAAAAGATTTTTTGGTATATAATATGTAGTTGTCTGTCAATTTTAACACTTCTATATCGATGGAATTTGGCGTATGTTTACCTAATTCCAAAATCTAAACCTTAGAAATTTGACCTAAATAATACGAGACCAATCACTCTACTAGAATATCTAAGAAAAGTTCTTATAAAACTTATTAATATGTGACTCTTAATAGTCTTCGTCTAACACAATATCCTCAAAGGACATAACTTCATAGAACTCCTTTTTGCTTTACCTTTAAACTCTTGCACATTCTAGATAATATTAAAAATGACACCCTCTCTAATAAAAAGAATTGTAAATCCTTTTACAAAATATGTCAAAAGCTTATGATTGCATCAATATCTTTATGATGATCAAAGCACTCGAATGCTTAAAGCTTCTTAAAGAATTTATCTTCTTTATCCTAAACATGTTTGTATATAAGAAAACAGTTTTTTACTTCTTTTGGACTTATAGACACATATAAGGTTTTCTCAGGTATTGATCAAGGTAAAATTATTTCACCTCTTCTGTAGTATATCTATTATAATTCTCTATTATGTAGAGTGTAAAATTCTGATCTTAGATATAATATATCAATAGAATGGAAACCTAACGTACGCCTAAATTCCTTTGATAAATGATCATGCAAAATACTAGTATTAGCATATATAGACGATACACTGTGAATCACTAAATCTAAATAACAGCTTATTGGAATTATAGATATCACTAATAATTTTTATGACTTAAATAACATACAAGTGAATTGGTCAAAATCAGATCTTTTAACCAATACAAATACAACTCAAAACATCCAAACATACATTAATAGCTCTATATATACAATTATTGCTACAAGTCCTCAAGACTCCATTAGATACCTAGAGATCTGGATCTCACTCAAATGTAATAAGACATTTATTGTTAAACAAGTTGTTCAGAATGTTAAGTTCACAGTGGCTACTTTATTTAACAAAAAATTGACAAACAAATAGCTCATTTATACGTTTAATGTTATTGTTATATCTCGCATTAAATATCACACTCAATTGACTCATTTATCAGAAATACTTGCAGATCGTATTATACAACCTTTCAGAACTTTGCTTAAAAAAAACTTCATTTCTCATGAGATACGCCTTCTTATCTCCTACATTCAAAATTTTTATAGTATAACACACCTTTATCACCGCAACATGCAAGCTCTTAGTGATGCTTTACTGACGTCTCTTAATAATACTGGTCTACTAGATCTATCCACTAACATACGTTTGTTATAACTGCAAGTTAAGAAATGGTTACCAGCATTACCGCTAGTTGATTGGTCTTACAAAAATGCTAAATATTTCAACAACTGGATCCTAGCACTCTTATATAATCTCAAATGACTGAATATTAACTTATCTCTACCAGATCAATTCACTTATAGAATATAAGGTGGATCCATTACCATCCAGTCAATTATCCTACAAGACTATTGGAAATCAGTCCCATTCTTGTCCAAATATTTCCTAATATTTATGAAAT